ATTTTTCCCCCCCCCCTCCTACGTTTCAATAAAACAGGGGAATTGCTGTTAGTCAATCGCTATTTAATTAATTTCCGAGCGGATAGAGCGTAAAATAATCGATTAATTACGCAGTCCCGCAACTCTCGCAGCTGTCCATTCATAAAACTCCCTTACAATTAACACCGTCGCAGGAGAGGATCGACGCTGCGAACAGCGATAGCGATAGCGCGTTGTGTTACACAACCCCAACACACCACACAAACACGCGTCGAATGTGCGTCAGTGTGGGCCGTACGGCTGCATCCAATGAAGCAACTCCCATCCGATTGTCATTGCACTTGTCCTGTCATAAACAAACTCCCGAGTCAGCGAGGGCCCCCCTAAAGCTGAATAATCCCTCGAACAATTGGCAACTAGTGCAGTGGTGAGATGTGTAAACCACGCGAAAACAATCTCCATGAATCTTAACCTATCTAACCTCAACGATGATGAGAATCTGAGGAATTGCGTTCATCACAGGAAGAATAATTGAGAAGTAAGTGATCGCTCCAGAGGCTTTTTAACATTTCAGAAAATTGATACTCTCTTTGATTTTATGGGAAATTAATAATCAGTGGAAGATGAGCATTACTTCTGTACTTATTTGTTGATACAAATGCGCTGGGTAGATGGTGCATTATTAAATGCGTTAGAACGCTCGGAATACATGAATAACAAAAACAAAGTGAAGAATTTGTCCTTCGAGAACTGGGGAATTCGGATAAATAATGCTGATGATTGAGCACGAGGGACACTGAATAGGATGACACATCTCTTATTACATCAATACCAAAATAAAGATGAAGCATCCAGTTAAAGGTCACGAGGCGTTGGAGAAATAACAACAATTTTAATAGAATCTCTCAAGAATGGGAGTTTTTTAGATTAATTTTTTTAGCTTTCGTTCCATAGAATTTTTATGTCCTAGAGACGAGTGAGAACTGAAAGGATCAGTCCCTGTTTCATCCGCGTGACGAATACGTCTAATGAGAAAAAAGGAAATTTGGATGGTCGATGGATTATTTTACCCGGGAGAGTATCTCAAATTTATCCCAGGGACAAAAAATAAAATCTAATCTCAAGGTTAAATCAGTTAATTCAAATGAAACTGCAGGATAAATAAAGAATTATTGTTCGGGTCAAATATTGAAAAATTATGACCTTTACGATACAATTGAGTTCGAGGGGAAATTTTACAAATGTTAATGAGGGGTTGAAAATGTTGATGAAATTTAATATTTTTTTTCAATACAAAGAACAGTCCTTTCTCTTTGTGACGAGCCTAAACTGAGCTCAATTGATAAATTTGTTTCTGAGTTATGAACAATTTAAAAAAAGTCTAAAGTGTCCATTTTACCCCACCCTCCCCTACTCAAAAAATTTAAGAGTGATTTTAACTAATTGATGGCTACAGTATCCGGCAATTAAATACGACGAATTTGGCTATCCCTGCAGTGAATAAATGAAGCTGAAACTGGCAGAATATTCCTATGCGGAAAATTCAATTTAGGGAATATTCAAGTGTAGGAGAGTCAAATAATCGTATGGACAAATGTCTTCTAAGGATGTTCTAGACCCTTTCTGCCAAAATTCACGTTTTTTAAATTTTTCTGGCAAACTTATGATGGAATTGACGTGAAAAAATATAACGTTTTTGCGTTTTGTCATTATTTAATGACTGACGAAATTTTAAGGTGGTGCGAACATTTTCCTGCGTTTTCTCTAAACTTTTAAAAAGAATCACAAAACTGTAGAAAAAACGCATGAAAATTATCGCACCACTACGCAACTTCGTGAGCCATTGAAGAACGACAAATCACAAAATCGTTATATTTTTTCACGTCACTCCCATCGATAATTTTCCAGAAAAATGAAAACAACGTCAATTTTGGCTAAAAGGGTGTCGAACATCCTTAAATGCGAAAGAGTTTCTCCATTACTTGAAAACATTTGTGCACCCCTAGATTGGCCTAAGACAAATTTTCTGCTGTCGAATTAATCGCTAGTTCGAGCTTCACAGTGAATAAAATTTCAGTCAACCAATCAATCAATTGCAGCCCCCCCCGTCAAGATGTCGTCGACCCTAGTCCAGCAGTTCGTCCAGCGGCTGAAGTCCCGCCACGAGGAGGTCCGTAACAAAGCGGCGCGCGACCTCTGCCACTACATAAAAACGGAGCTCCGAGAGACCTCCCAAGAGGAGATCACCTCCTTCATGGACGAGTTCAACCACCACATCTTCGAGATGGTCTCCGGCTCGGACATGAACGAGAAGAAGGGCGGAATCCTGGCGATAGTCTGCCTGATAGGCGCCGACGTGGGCAACATAAACACGCGAACAATTCGCTTCGCCAATTACCTGAGGAACTTGCTGCCCTCCTCGGACGTGGGGGTGATGGAGCTCGCAGCGAAGACTGTTGGCAAGCTGGCGCTGGTCTCAGGCACCTACACAGCCGAGTACGTGGAGTTCGAGGTGAAGAGGGCGTTCGAGTGGCTGGGGGGTGACAGAAACGAGGGAAAACGTCACGCAGCAGTTCTCGTCCTCCGCGAGCTGGCGGTGTCGATGCCGACGTACTTCTTCCAGCAGGTGACGCCCTTCTTCGACCTCATCTTCAACGCAGTGAGGGACCCAAAGGCAGTCATCAGGGAGGGGGCAGTGGAGGCCCTGCGAGCTGCCCTGGTGGTGACAGCCCAACGAGAGACAGCAAAGCAAATGCACAAGTCCCAGTGGTACAAGCAGTGCTACGACGAGATAATCGCTGGCTTCGAGGACGTCTACAGCAGGGAGCGAGGGTTCAACCGAGACGACAGGATTCATGGGTCTCTCCTGGTGCTCAACGAGCTCCTTCGCTGCAGCAATGTCCAGTGGGAGAAGAAGTACGAGGAGCTGATGGAGAGGCTGAATCTATCGAATCCTCAGAACGACAACGACATCCTCGTGCTGATGCCCAGGCTGAAGACGATTATAGTCTCCAAGTGGTCGGGTTGTGCCAACAGATCGGCCACTGATGGCGTCTACAATGATATTATCAACAGCACTGGGGGTAATGGGGTGAATGGCATCAATGGGGGTAATTCTACTGCTCAGTACTCACAGCAGTGCTTGTATCCAGTGCACGAGTCAGCTGCCTGCAGGCAGCTCATGCAGGAGAGGCTCGATGACGTTTATATGGATGTGCTGAACCAGAGGCTGTCGAAGAATCCCCATATTCAGCACGCGTTGATGACGCTACTGCCCAGACTGGTGGCTTTCAATACTGATAAGTTCACGAAGGAACACCTCAGGGACACCTTGAATTATTTGCTGATTGTGCTGAGGGGCAGGGAGAAGGATCGTTATGCTGCGTTCATGACCATTGGACTCATCTCGGTGGCTGTGGGGGACTCCATCAAACCGTATCTTCCGAAGATCATGGAGGTGATCAAGAGCAGCTTGCCGTCCAAGGAGACGCCTAATAAGAAGAGGGGGGCACCTCTGGAGCCCGCGGTTTTCATCTGCATCACGCTTCTGGCGCACGCTGTGAAGCAGGCCATCAGTGCTGAGGCGAAGGACTTGTTGGAGTCGATGTTGGCGACTGGGCTGAGCCCCATTTTAACGACTTCTTTGAGGGAACTGGCACATAATGTCCCTTCGCTCAAGCCGGACATCTCGCAGGGACTCCTGAGGATGCTTTCACAGGTGGGAGACTCTTTTGGGACTTGATGGGTTGATTAGTAATTAATGAAGGGGAGTTTTTGGTGGGCGAGGGATGCTCGTCGATCGCGTGGTAATTATTTGGATTCGTAATGAATGAAGTCTATTTGTGGTGGGAAATAATTTTATTCGTGAGAATAACATTTTAAGAATACAAATTCTCAAATATGAGTGGATTTATCGGAAAATGTCAGAAGAACTTTTTGGAGAGAATTTTATGCGCTTCAAAAAAGTTCTTCTGATGTTTTTTGATAAACCTCGAAGTTCTGCAGATATTACGACTTTTATTAGAAGAGGAAACTTTCCAACGAAAGTCCACTTGTTTCCTTCACCAAGAAAATTCGTAATATCTCCAAAACCAGGGAATTCATCTAAAAAAGTCAAAAATACATTTTTGTACAGAATTTCCTGGGCTGCAAAAAAGCTCATGTCATATTTTTCGATAAACCTCAAAGTTTTCCAGATATTGTGACTTTTATCAGAAGAAAATTCTTGGAGAAGAAAATCCATTCTTTTTTTTCTTTGAAAAACCGTCCCCAAAAATCAATTGAAACAATAAAAATCCCCAGGTCCTGATGCACAAGCCACTTCGTCACCCGGGTGCCCCCTGGACGGCAACGAGTCCCAGTGGCATTCTCGCGGCGCCGCCAACAGAACCCATGGACGTTCCCTCGACAGTCCTCGCCCTCCGCACCCTGGGGACCTTCAACTTCGACGGGAATCCGCTCCTCCAATTCGTCCGCCGTTGCGCCGACCACTTTCTCACCTCAGAACAGCCCGAGGTCCGCCTGGAGGCGGTGAGAACGTGCTCGAGACTCCTCAGACTGGCCCTCAGCCAGCCAGGGCCGACAGTAACCAACACAGTATCCGCAGTTCTTGGGAAGCTTCTGGTTGTGGGGATCACCGACACCGACCCAGACGTTCGGATTTCAGTGCTCGCCTCCCTGGACGACTCCTTCGACATTCATCTGGCCCAAGCTGAGAGCCTCTCAGCCCTCTTCGTCGCGATGAACGACGAAATGTTCGAGATAAGAGAACTCGCCATCAGGACAATTGGCAGATTGAGCACGATGAATCCAGCGTACGTGATGCCCTCCCTCAGGAAGACCCTCATTCAATTTTTAACAGAACTGGAGCACTCGGGGATGGGGAGGAATAAGGAGCAAGCGGCCAGGATGCTTGACCACCTGGTGGTCAGTGCCCCGAGGCTGATTCGTCCCTACATGAAGCCCATCCTGAAGGTCCTGGTGCCCAAACTCAAGGAGCCAGAGCCCAACCCAGGAGTCGTCCTGGCGATTCTTCGAGCAGTTGGAGACCTCGCGGAGGTAAATGGCTCAGAGATGCAGCAGTGGATGCCAGAGTTGCTGTCAATCCTCCTGGAGATGCTGGTGGACGCAAGTTCCCCGGAGAAACGAGGAGTCGCCCTCTGGGTGCTTGGGCAACTTGTCGGCAGCACTGGACACGTGGTGAAACCCTACATGCAGTACCCCACGCTGCTGGAGGTCCTGATCAACTTCCTGAAGACCGAGCAGCAGCCCATCATCAGAAGAGAGACTATTCGAGTCCTCGGGCTGCTCGGGGCTCTGGATCCTTACAAACATAAGATGAACCTTGGACAGATTGACTCGCAGGTGGACAATCAGCTGACATCAGTCACCGACACCAAAAGTGATATCGAGAGCAATCAGGATTTAACTACCAGTGAAATGCTCGTCAATATGTCCTCCTCCAGTCTCGAGGAGTATTACCCAGCAATTGCAATTGCCACACTGATGAGGATCATCAGGGATCCAACCCTAGCTCAACATCACACGATGGTGGTCCAGGCTGTGACCTTCATCTTCAAAAGTTTGGGGATCAAGTGTGTCCCTTACATCTCCCAAGTGATGCCCAGTTTTCTGAATGTCGTGAGAACAGCTGACGTCAACTTCCGGGAATATCTGTTTCAACAGCTGGCGATTCTCATAGCAATTGTCAAACAACACATCAGAAACTACCTCGACGACACCTTCAATTTGATTAAGGAATTCTGGACTGTGAACAGCCCTCTTCAGAGCACCCTGATCCTCCTGGTGGAGCACATTGCTGTGGCCCTAGGTGCTGAATTCAAGATTTATCTTCCTCAGCTGATGCCACAGATCCTGAGGGTGCTCACCCACGACACGAGTAAAGATCGAAGTGTCACGGTTAAGCTTCTCCTCGCACTCCAGAAATTCGGGAATAATCTGGATAACTACCTTCACCTGGTTCTCCCACCCATTGTCAAACTGTTTCACGCGTCTGACTGTCCTGTAACCGTCAACAGAGTCGCCTTGGAGACAGTGGATCACCTCGCAGATACTCTGGACTTCACGGATTTTGCCTCGAGAATTGTGCATCCCCTGGTGAGGACTCTTGATCAGTGTCCTGAGCTCAGGGCCACTGCGATGGAGACCCTCTGCGCCCTGGTGATCCAACTGGGGAAGAAGTATCAGATATTCATAACACTTGTGCAGAAAGTCATGACCAAACACAAGATCGTTAATTCCCAGTACGACATCCTCGTGGACAAGATTTTAACGGAGACATCGATGGCCGAGGGGGACGACTACCTTCTCATGAGGCACAGGAACTCCAGGAACAAGAACAGAGACTTGTCGTTGACCTCTTCGGACACGACGATGATCAAGCGCCTGCACGTGTCAGCGTCGAACCTCCAGAAGGCGTGGACAGCGACGCGAAGGGTCTCCAAGGACGACTGGCTGGAGTGGCTGAGGTCGTTGTCGATAGGCCTTCTGAAGGAGTCCCCCTCGCCTGCTTTGAGATCCTGCTGGGCCCTGGCGCAGACTTATTCACAGCTACCCAGGGATCTGTTCAACGCGGCTTTCGTGTCTTGCTGGACAGAGCTGACTGATCCGTATCGAGGGGAGCTCATTCAGACCCTCCAGCAGGCTCTCATGGTACCGGATATTCCGGAGATTACTCAGACCATTTTGAATCTTGCGGAGTTTATGGAGCACTGTGATAAAGGTAATTGGCTTAATCATTTTTAATAATTCATTTATTTATTATGGTGGTATTTATGACAAAATTGGGAAAGGAATTTTGAAAGGTAATTCATGAGAGGATGATAATTGTTTTAATTTTTATTCACTAATTAATTTATTATGATGGAATTTGTGACAAAAACTATTGGAAAACTAATTTTTGAGTAAACTAAATGGTGATCAAATGACATTAAATTATCTGACGTCATCATTTCATAACTAAATTAAGAAAAAAATAATAATCCTCTTAATTTTATAGTTTATGGAGCACTTTGGTGTGGGCAATTAGTAACAGAATATTAATTATTGCTATAATATTTTCGAGATGTCAGGGAGATTATTATGAGACCAATCATAGAATAATGGAATTGACGACAGAAATGATGGAAAAACGAATGCATCAGTAAACTAAGGGCCATAAAAATGCCATTAATTTACCTCGAGTCATCACAAAAAGCTTAAAAAAAGACGATAACGCACCCTAATAACGCCAATTTCCTCCTGAAGGTCCCCTTCCCCTGGACAACAAAATCCTGGGCGAGCGAGCGATGCACTGTCGAGCGTACGCGAAAGCCCTCCACTACAAGGAGGACGAATTCCACAAGAGCAGAAACAGCAGTGTCTTCGAGTCCCTGATCTCCATAAACAACAAGCTCCAGCAGAAGGAGGCAGCGGAGGGTCTCCTGGAGTACGTGATGAACCAGGACAACCAGCAGGAACTGAAAGTCCAGGTGCGTTGGTACGAGAAGCTCCACAACTGGGACAAAGCCCTGCACCTCTACAAGGAGCGTCTGGAGACAGATTCAGCGGATGTGGAGTCGACCCTGGGGGAGATGCGATGTTTGGAGGCGCTGGGTGAATGGGGCCAGCTGCACGACGTGGCGACACGCCAGTGGTCGCACCAGACCGACGAAACCAAGCAGAGAATGGCGAGGATGGCAGCAGCTGCTGCCTGGGGGCTGGGGCAGTGGGAGAGCATGGAGAAGTACGTGGGACTGGTGCCCAAGGACTCTCAGGACGGTGCGTTCTACCGAGCAGTTCTGGCGATTCACAATGACCAGTACAACGTGGCACATCAGCTGATAGACAGTGCTCGAGACCTCTTGGACACTGAATTAACGGCGATGGCTGGGGAGAGCTACCAAAGGGCTTACAACGCGATGGTGGAGGTCCAGAAGTTGGCGGAACTCGAGGAAGTAATTCAGTGGAAATTGGTGCCTGAGAGACGCCAGACGATCAAGTACATGTGGTGGCAGAGGCTCCAGGGGGGCCAGAGAATCGTCGAGGACTGGCAGAGGATAATTCAGGTGCACACACTCGTTGTATCACCTCAGGACGACATGTACACGTGGCTGAAGTACGCCAGTCTCTGCAGAAAGAGTGGAAGTCTTCAATTGTGTCATAAAACTCTAGTCATGCTGCTGGGGGTGGATCCATCGAAAACACCTGATGATCCACTGCCCACTCAACACCCTCAGGTCACATTCGCCTACTGCAAGCACATGTGGATGGCGAATAAGAGGGAGGAGGCTTACAATCAGTTGAAATTGTTTATTCAGAACTCCCTGCAGCCTGCAGCAGCTGCTGTCACCAGTCTTGTCAGCCAGTCGGACGATGGCATTCATCAGCAGAGCCAGGAACAGGCGGAGGCTCACCGGCGACTTCTGGCGAGGTGTTATCTGAAACTCGGGGAGTGGATGGAGTCCTTGAAGGGGATCAATGAGACCTCGATACCAGCGGTTTTGTCGTATTACAGAGCTGCCACTGAACATGACCCCAGCTGGTACAAGGCCTGGCATGCATTTGCTTACACGAACTTTGAGACTGTTCTGTTTTATAAGCATCAGCAGAGCGATAGCGCCGTGCAGGAGGCTAGGGAGGGCAATGGTATGAGGATTTTTCAATTATTTTTTAATTTGTGATGTTTTTGGATTTTTAGACGTTGCAGACGTCAAGTGGGTTGAACTGGAATTTAATCAGTAAATGTAGTTATTTTCTGTGAATTTATGAGTTGATTTTTTCAAATCGAGTTTAGGGGAGGGTGGGGTAAAATTAACACTTTTGACTTTTCTTGAAATGTTTATTACGTGTTGAATTCTTCATGAAATTGAATAATCTCATTTTGCAATTGAAAGAACAATTATTCCCCTGGTGATGAGCTTAGACTGAGCTCAATCGACAAGTCTGTTTCTGAGTTATAATTATTTTTAAAAAAGTCAAAAGTGTCCGTTCTACCCCACCCTCCCCTGCGTAAAAAAAAGATTATTCCATTCAATTAATTACTGAATGAGTCATAATTAACATCTAAAAAATAGACGTGCTGAGATTGCAGTAAAATTCCTAATTAACGTTCAAAAATACCAAAAATAAAATATTTAAAATTAAAAAAAAATCTCGAAATGTTTTTTACAGGCAGTACCAACGGTTCTCGCGTCTCGCTATCAAACGCCCAGTACATCTCTCGCTTCACAGTCCCAGCGGTGGATGGTTTCTTCAAATCCATAAACCTCTCCCACGGGAATTCCCTTCAAGACACCCTGCGCCTCCTGACCCTCTGGTTCGACTACGGCCAGTGGCCGGAGGTGTACGACGCCATCGTCGAGGGAATCCGCCTGATCGAGATCAACACCTGGCTGCAGGTGATCCCCCAGTTGATCGCGCGAATCGACACCCCTAGGGCCCTCGTGGGCAGATGTATCCACCACCTCTTGATAGACATCGGCAAGTCCCACCCTCAGGCCCTGGTCTACCCTCTGACAGTGGCCTCCAAGAGTGCCAGTGTGGCACGCAAGGCAGCAGCCAACAAAATCCTGAAGAACATGTGCGAGCACAGTCCAACATTGGTGCAACAAGCGATTATGGCTAGTGACGAGCTCATCAGAGTGGCAATTCTCTGGCACGAGCTGTGGCACGAGGGCCTCGAGGAGGCCAGTAGACTGTACTTCGGTGAGAGAAATGTCAATGGAATGTTCGAGACACTGGAGCCCCTGCACGCCATGTTGGAACGAGGCCCCCAGACTCTGAAGGAAACGTCGTTCAATCAGGCTTATGGGAGGGATTTGATGGACGCCCAGGAGTGGTGTCACAGGTACAAGGTGTCTGGCAATGTCAGGGATCTGAATCAAGCCTGGGACCTCTACTACCACGTCTTCAGGAGGATTTCACGACAATTGCCTCAATTAACGAGCCTCGAGCTGCAGTACGTGAGCCCCAAACTCCTCCTCTGCAGGGACCTGGAGCTTGCTGTGCCTGGGAGCTACTGTCCAGGCCAGCCAATCGTCAGGATCCAGAGTATTCACAGCTCGATGCAGGTCATCACGAGCAAACAACGACCCAGGAAGCTCTGCATCAGGGGCAGCAATGGTAAGGACTACATGTTTCTGCTGAAGGGCCACGAGGACCTCAGGCAGGACGAGAGAGTTATGCAGCTGTTTGGCCTGGTTAACACTCTGCTGCTTCACGATCCTGACACCTTCAGGAGGAATCTGACGATACAGAGGTACGCGGTGATCCCTCTGTCCACTAATAGTGGGCTCATAGGCTGGGTACCTCACTGCGATACCCTGCACACGTTGATAAGGGATTATCGGGATAAGAAGAAGATTCTACTGAATATCGAGCATAGGATCATGCTGAGGATGGCGCCGGACTATGATCACTTGATGCTGATGCAGAAGGTCGAGGTGTTTGAGCATGCACTGGAACACACGCATGGGGATGATCTGTCCAGGCTACTCTGGCTGAAGTCACCTTCCAGTGAAGTTTGGTTCGATCGGAGGACTAATTATACTAGGTCACTGGCGGTCATGTCCATGGTGGGGTATGTATTTTTTGCCTGGTGGCTTCACTCTTATTATTTTTATGGTTTATTCTTTGAAAATTCAATGTTTGGTAATTGGTATCTCAGAACAAAAAATTATGGTGAGACAGTGAAGTTTGGGGGAATGCTAGCCATGTATGGAAATATTTTTTTTGAAGAAAAAGTTTAGTCTGGTTCGGTCGACGTGGAATTGCAAAAATGATCACGTTTTGAGGCTTAACTAAAAGAAATATTTGAAGAATAACATGAGAAAGGGAAATTCCACTCTGCGTCACTGAAAATTGAAGAGCATTTCAAACGAAAATGAATTTCAAATAAAAAAAAAAGAGAAATTCCACTCTTCCATTTTTAATTTATGAAAAATTGAAATCGTCAGCTTTACATGATCTGAATTCGACTTGATGTCAACCCCAATCTTCCTAAATCATAATGATCATCTTTTTCGAATTTTAAATATTGTTTTTGGCAGGTATATTCTGGGTCTCGGTGATCGACATCCTTCCAATCTAATGCTAGACCGACTGAGTGGAAAAATCCTCCACATAGATTTCGGCGATTGTTTCGAAGTGGCAATGACCAGGGAGAAATTCCCGGAGAAGATTCCCTTCAGGCTGACCAGAATGCTGATAAATGCCATGGAAGTGACTGGAATCGAGGGGACGTACAGGAGAACCTGTGAATCAGTGATGTCAGTGCTGCACCGTAATAAAGACAGTCTGATGGCTGTGCTGGAGGCCTTCGTTTACGATCCACTGCTCAACTGGAGGCTCATGGACAATGCAGCACCCAAGGGGACCAGGTCAGACGCCCAGAGTATGAACACGAGCAGCAGTCAGGAGCACGGGGACATCCTGGAGTCACTGACGTCGACTTTACCGAAGAAGGGAGTGGGACCCTGCAGTATTGAGAATGGAGGGGACAACAATCAGCCAGAGGCACTGAATAAGAAGGCTCTGGCCATCATCACGAGGGTCAGGGACAAGTTGACTGGACGAGATTTCCTCCACGAAGAAACCCTGAGTGTCCAACGACAGGTGCAACTGCTCATACAGCAAGCCACGAATAACGAAAATTTGTGTCAATGCTACATTGGATGGTAAGACGATTATCATTACCATTTGGAAAATGAAAATCTTACATTTCATTTGCAAGATGTGCATTATACATTTTTTATTTCCACAGGTGTCCATTCTGGTAATTCAGTGGAGGCTTCCAATATTAATGAGTTGATGAATTGGGCTCAACGATGCATTTCCACAGATTAAATTGCTTCAGTCAAATTATTTTCAATTGTCACTCCACGAATGCTGTATATAGTACAATGTTAATACGCGATTTTGTATATAGTTACAGTTGTATTTTTATTAAGCTTGTAATTTAGATTTTGGATGTTTGTGTAATTTGGGTATTATTGCGAGTGACACGGGTGGGAGTCGATTGATTAATTAGTGAAGTGGTGAAATGATACACTACTGTCTCCATTGTTAAATCATTTTTTTTTATTGTTATTTTTTTCAAACAATTAATGAAATATTGGTAAACTTTAGGTGATTGAGGATTGATTTTTCATGATTTCTCTGGATATAAAAGTACGTATGTAATGTTTTTAATTCAATTCTCATGTTTCATTATTTCATTCAATAGAAAAAATGGTGCAACAACCGAATTTGAATATTTTCTGAGACAGGTAATTATAAGAAATACTGTAATGAATTCACCACTGCACTAACGAATTTCCGAATGAGCTGAAAGATGAACAAGTGATATGATTTTTGCATCAGAAGATTAAATAAATTCAGATGGAAGATCAATTCTGTCATTCTTACATAAAATAATACGATATGTATGAGTGCCGAAATAATTCATTCCTCATAATATGTGCCCATTAATTATTCGTCAATTAATTCCCACATATTATGAATTGCGTTGTGATATAAATTGTCGTCTACTCGAATATAACTCCATTGAGTCCGAACGAAAAGGGCAGGAGTTCTCTCAACGAGGTTCTGAGGACTTTCTTCATGTCGGGAGGTGCCAGATAAATGGGAATGTCCCCGAATTCCGCCAACATCTGTCGGCAGACGCCACAGGGCGACGTGGCAGCCCCATCGACGGATTTAGCTACCACAGCGAGAGCACTGAATTTCCTCTTCCCTTCGGAGATGGCTTTCGATATCGCGGCCCTCTCAGCGCAGACGCCGGCGGCGAATGCTGCGTTCTCCACGTTGCAGCCAGTTGATATCGTACCATCCTCGCACCTCAATGCAGCACCCACTTGGAAGTTGCTGTAGGGACAGTATGCCTTCTCCCTCACGTTCATAGCCTCGTGGATCAGTTCCTGAATGTCTTTGTCTGGAATGAGAGGAAATGATGGGTGAGATGAAAGGGGAACGTTGGAGGTACTTAATTTCAATTCATTTCTATTTTATTTTCACAGTGATATTTATAAATTCATGATGATTAATTGTCACTTCAGTTATTTTAGTTGATCTCCTGGCATTGAGGTTTTTATGGAATTGCGAGGGTGATGATTGAGGTAAAATAATGATGATTGATGAAAATAATGATTTACACAATTTGGCAGGAAAAATGAAGAAGTTTACTCAATATTCTTTCGTTTTTGATTTTAAAGTGGAGGAAAAGATTTTTTAATTGTGTGAGAAATGCGAAGTTGCTGTCTCAGGGGATGAGATGAAGAATGAATGTTGGAGGTAGTTTAATTTAATTGAATTTCTATTTTATTTTCACAGTGATATTTTTTAAATTCATAATAATGAATTGTCATTTCAGTTATTTTATTTGATCTCCTGGTATTGAAATATTTATGGAATTGCAAACGTGATGATTCAGGAGGTAAAATCAGAATTTATGCAATTTATCAACAAAATTGAAGAAATACTTCTTCAATTATTCAATACTTCTTCGTTTTTTTATTTTAAATTGTGTAAAAAAATACTTTCAATTGCATGAAATGAAATCAATGCAAAATGATATTTTCTTATTTAAAAAAATTTCTCTAATTATTTCAATCACGGGAACAATATCATTTCATCAATATATATTTAAAATCTTGTGGATTGATTGTTGGATGTCGTTGTCTAGAATGAGAAAATCGGGTGGGGGGATAAGATAAAAGATGAGTGAATAATATCAGTGAGATAGATTTAATTGTCATTATTAATGCCCCGTAACATGAAATTGATACAGTTATGGAACTGAACACAGTAAGCATATTTTCCTTGAAAAATTGTATTGCAAAAAACTATAGCTACATTTCGAAGACAGCAATCTGTCTTCTACTATTCAAAACAGAACATAAAATTCCAAAGTTATCAGCACGCAATTAAAAAAATATAGAATAGCTCAATCGTTTATCATTAGCCTCAGATAAAAAATAATCAAAAAACGACATAACCTCGTAATTAACAACATCAGCCCCTCCCCTTGACCCGAACAAAAACAAAGACACTGATAACAGATTTAAATTCGCATTCTCGAGATTTCGCACGAATCTCAAATCCAGTGAAAGTGTGATCAGCTGCAAAGTGATCAACAATATGTTGTGAATGCTCAGCAATTGGGAGATATGATTGTCCAATTAGACAGGACTATGTACAATGAGATTAATTAGTTTAATTACCCAGATCGTCGAAATCGATTACTTTCCCAGCCGTCATCCTCTCAAGCAAATGGAGAATAAGAAAATAGAAAACACTGGTCTGAACTCGTATCAATTTTCTGGCACTGTCCCAGCATACACTAACGTCACGAAAACTTTCTCAGGATTGCTTCATATAACTCCGCTGAATAAATAGTTTTAGGCGATGGTACTTGGAGTGGGTTTAGGAGCCTCGTAAAATTCAGTTGACGTCGGCTGTTGAATTATTACGAGGGGCCGGGGAATACTGATGAGTTTTGAAAGGGGATTGAAAGGTTTAATGCGCTCAACAGGATTGATGAGTTAGCAGGCAATCGTTGACTGCTGAGGCGTTGATATTCAATACGAAATGCATTGTGAGACGCATTTGGGTCGATGGAGCAGTGATTCCTGGGAATCCCTTCCTGGATTATATCGCGGATCGTGTTATTTCTCCTTGGGAGTGTTATCTTTCCCAGCGATTTACTGTTTACTGCACTCTCCCACTTCTGATTTTTGGGCAGTCGCAGTCGGATGATAGGCGGGGTGGGTGCATGCGTAGAGTTAAAAACAATTCAACTCTGCCAGTTGCAATGATGTGATATTTTGTATCGAGACACTTTTGCGAATGTCAGAATTTTAGTTTGATCGATGGGGGGAAATCATTTCTGTGGGGGATTGGTAAACCCTGCGCACACTATTGGCTTGAAATACCATCCTGTTGGTTCACTGTTAACAATTTTTGGCTTAAATTTTCATACACTTTTTGGAAATTTTTATGGAGTTTAAAATTCAAAATTTCGTGGAAAAATCGAAGAGACCTGTAAATTTCAATTCTATTTTTCCCTGAAAATGAATAGGACAGTGACACTGAATGCAATTTAGAGGGGAACAAAAATTATGGAATTTTAGATTTCACTAAGAATTCTATGTAATTTGACACTAAATATTCATTTTAGATTGGAAATTCGAATAAATTAAGGAATTCTCGTCTTTATGCTGCTTAAAATTCTGTAATTTTACTGAATTTTCCGTGAAACCTGAAATTTAATTTTTTTTTGCCCTAAATCGTATTCAGTGTCACCTGTCCATGAAATTTCATTTTTTATAACAGTGCTGCAATAGTATGAGATTTCATATGGAGACATTTTTGCGAATGTCAGAATCTCGGTTTGATCAGTGGAATTAAATTATTCCTGTGGGAGCATTGATTTTTATATGATGACAATTTTAAGCGAGGAACCTCATTGGAGAACCCCACGCACACTGCAGGCTTTTAAAATCCTCTCCTAAATTTGAGAAAAATCGAGGGAAAATTCTTTATTCCGTTAATTTTGAATAATTAATGACGAATGCATAAAAATGAGTGTTAGTTTTTTAGTTTTTATTTTAGTTCTTTAGTTTTAGTTTTGCAGTTTTATCGATGCGGACGATCAACTCCTACCAGACCAATTTTTATTTACAGGCCAAAATTTTATCACGATCTTCCGAAGACTCTAATCTCCCGAAAAAATTGATAGATTTTTCTGGCGATACCGTTATTAAAATCGGTGAAATCGGCTCGACCCTCGAGACGCGAGAAAAACGTTCGAGATTCGCCCGATAACAAAAGACTGAACAAACATCAAGTGACTAAATAATCCACAGACAAACATTTCGATGAATATTTGTTCAGTGTACTTTTTAAATTCCCCCTGAATCCCTGCACCCCGATTTCCTCAATTCAATTTGACTCAGTAAAATTTTAATGCTCTTCTCGTTCTATATTATTGGCAAGAGTCCACCGGTGAATGCTGGATGACATGGAGTTTGAACGTTGTCAAACTTATCGAAGAAGTATAATAATTTTTCGTGTACGAGCCACGCGACAGTTCTCCCTTCACGAATGATGAATTATTTGTTCCGCAGATGAGAGTGACGATGCAACTGGGACGAATTGCACTAGTGTCAAGAGTGGATCGGACATTCAATTGACAGGTTTGCATAATTCCGCTCCACCCATTCATTTCAATTAGCGCAATCAGGCTAATTAATCTAATTAATAAAATGGGATCGTGTCCGCTGCTGCGTTTTGGCGGTGCAGCGCTCGACGGGAAATTGGACTGGGCGGGGGAGCGATGCAATGTGGTGAAAAATTGTCTGGATTATTACGCAATGCTGTACCAGAGCGCGGGCCCCACCTCCATGGACATGACCATGGAGATACCCTACGTGGTGTCTCCCAGATCGAGCCAGGTCGATAGCCCCAGAATTCCAATAATCCCCATGATCGAGGAGATTCGATTCATCGAGAAGATTGGGGCGAATGAAGCCAATGAGAATGAGCAAATTGGTGGGTTATCTCAGTCATACTTGAAATTCAATTTTTTTAACTATTATTTTACGAATAATAGTTAATATTTAACATACATTTAAATTAAGTTGGATTTAAATAAATTTAAAATAAATATTAACTGTTAAAATGCCAAAATAGTTGACATTTTATTTTATTATCGAGTGATTGTAATGGGAAATGTCAACGAAATTCTGTTCAATTTTTATTGGGAGTCTGTAAGAATTTTATTTTAAAATCCCAGTCGTTTTTTGCGTCAACTTTGTTGAGAGATATTTCATAGAAAAAACTCAATAGATTTTGATTTCTCTATTTAATTTATTGGGCATAAATTTTCCAAGTTTTTTCCGAAGTATTTTTATTCTTTTCTCGTATAACATCTAAGGGGAAAAAATTAGAAAATGCGGGCTCAAGGATTCTTAGAGAAAAAATCTCAATTGAGCGAATTACATAGAAAAATCAACATTTATAATTTTTTTCCGTAAACAGTTTCTATTTGAAAGCGCACGGGAGAGTTGCATAATTTTTAATAGGATTGGCGCAAAAAACCAACAATTTTTCAATTAAATTGTTATTTTACATTCGGTTTTTTTATTTTTTTTCCATACGTGAATTTAATTTTAATTTAAATTCAAGTTCACTTGAAGAAGTCAATTTGTAAAATCAATAAATTATTAAACAATTATTATTATTAATTATGAAATAATAATAATTATTATTTTATTGATTTAATTTATTAAATCCATAAATTTAAAGTCAGATGTCTTTATAAAAATGAATGAATGAAGGAATGAATCAATCAATCAATTAATCAGTTAATCATGGAATGAATGATTGAATAAATGAGACAACCATTGGATGTCAACTCCCTTTCATTTCAGAAAAAGACTTCCCCGATTCTCCAAAACCTCCGAAACTAGCGTCAACCATTGCCCTCGAACTGAATAAGTCATCAGTTCAATTAATTCCAAACACCTGGAGTGAAAAATCCCTGCGACACGTTTTCTCAATTAGCAACAATCAATTTTTTGATCCCTCAAATCCTGAGATTATAGAAACGCTCCCTCGAGAGCCGGAGATTGTTTTAAAATTGACTGAGAGACGAGAGAAATCCGCTCGCGATGAAGTATTGAAACCCCGAGAATTATATTCCGTGGTGCAAAGTAAAAAACCTGTATCATCGAGACAGGATGAGTCCCCTCACAGATTGATGAAGAAGAAGAGGAGGAAGATGAAGTTGAAGAGGTCTAATTCAAAAAGCACTACTGCAAGTAAACATGTGGCTAATTTATCGGAGACTAGGCATGTTCGGAGGGTCAAACGTCGAGGTAAAGTCATCAAAACGGCCTTAAATGTATTTAATAGCTAAATTTTTGGCTTCAATTTGCAAAAAAATTGATATAATTGAGGGAAAATTAAAATTCAGCAGCGAAGCGGTAAATGTTTTACTGAATATCTCGAAACCCAGCGGAGATAGCAAAATTGTTGTCATGACCTTTTTTGTCGGGCTCAATTCCCTCTACAAAAAAGGTCTTCACAAAAATTCCGCTATCTCCCTTAATTAAGCTGATTTGGACCGTTTTATCGCCTTGCTACTGAATTATTTTTAAGAAAGAGTTGAAATGAATCATTCACGCGTTCGTCAACAAGTGCAGAATGTAAAAATTAATTGCAGTGCACAAAGTTGAAGAGCCCCAGCCTCTCCCGAACGATTCCCACGAGAAACCGCAATCTCCGCGGAAAAAACTTATGAATAAAAATGAACAAGAAGTGGTGGAAATTTATCACAATGCTGCTGTTCAGAGTGTTCAGAGTATTTCTGAGGCGTCCGTTAAACAACAGCTGAAGATTCCGCCAGAGAGACCACTCAAAGATGCCTCTAAGAACATAAAAAACAGGATTAATCAGACGAAAGCGTCAGAACTGAAGGCCAAACCCATTTTAATCGTTAAAAATCAAGAGGAAAAAGCGCCTGTGGCCAATGATCAAGCGGCGATTATCAGGTTTTCTTAAATTCAGGAGAAGAAATTAACATTTTTTACACTGACAAAGATATTTATAATTTACGAAACGAATTCATCAATTAATCCATGAATTAACTCGTTAATTTATGATTTCAATTGACTAATTAATCAATTAATTAGTCAATTAATGATTAATCTAGTATTCAGACATTGCAGAAGGGCAAAATGCTCCCCTCATGAACATGAAAAATAAGATAACTTCGTAAACATTCAGATTCGTAATGAAGTTTTCCGGAACGCGTCTCAGCCCATCGCCGAGTTTTCGCGGAATATCTTCGAATTTAAGGCAGATAACGAAATTTTCGTAATTACCTTTTTTGTAGCCCCTAATTAGCTCTACAAAAAAGGTCATGACAAACATTTGGCCATCTCCCTTGGGTTTCGAGATATTTACTGAAAACTGACCAATAGTCAGAATCGACTTTCACCGTTTTACCGCTTTGCTCTGAATTAGATGAATGAATGAATAAATAATTCCGTCATGATGAACAGGAAACGGGAGGGGGAATTACGGGTGAAAGATCCCCCCGAGGAGTTCCACCCCCAGCCCGTCAGGACGTGGTACAACTCATACGGTCAGCCGAATTATCAGCAGCCAACATTCTCCTCCAGACTGAAATGCGTCAACAGATGCTACCTGACGGCTAGGTTCAACCTGAGGAACATTCCGTTCGTCGTGGGAACCTCGATCACCCCCAGTCACAACATAGGGTTGAATATTCAGCAGGTTTTGAGTCTCATGAAGAGCAAGCAGCCGGGGCTGGCCACCGAGATGCGACCGTTTTTCATTAAGAAAATGGGGAAGGAACTCCATCCGTTTGATTTTACGGTGGAAAACGAGGCTGAGGATTCTTCTGGCCGAGAACATGTGGAGGGAGCGGGTAAAACTGGACTGAAGGAGGTGCCGGGGGGAGGGGACTCATTGATGCAGATGAAATCAGTAATGAAAATAATTCCCTATTCTCAATTGAATAGATAACAACATGAAATGTGAATTTCTGTGCAAATTTAGCTCGAGGGTCGACATTTCAGGCCAGACTTTCCTCGAAGGGCAGGATTTTAATCGACATTTTCCGCGCAGTTCACGATTTCACTCTAGATTTTCCTTGAGGGTCAAGGTTTCAGTCCGGATTTTCGTCGAGGGTCAAGGTTTCAGTCCAGACTTTCCTCGAAGGTCAAAATTTCAATCGAGATTTTCCTCAGGGTCATGATTTCAGTCTAGAGTTTATTTGAGAATCCAGATGTTGATCCAGTTTTCCCTCGAGGGTCAAGATTTCAGCCCAAATTTAGCTCTAGAGTCAAAATTTCGGTCTAAACTTTCCTCGAAGATCAAGATTTTAGGCCAAATTTTCCTTGAGGGTCAAGGATTCAGTCGAGATTTTCCTCGAGGGTCAAGATTTCCGTCCAGTTTTTCCTCGAGGGTCAAGATTTCATCAAAATTTTTTGTTGAAAAATTTATGTCACTAAAATAAATCTTTCCTCATGAGTGCAAAATTACGAAATCATGAGAAATTCAACTCGCTCCTCTAATCTTCAGAATAATCTTCAGGCCGATGTGAAACACGTTGAGAGCCGTCTCCCAAGGTGCTCAGGAATAACCAGCAACTCATCAGAAATCAGAAACGTTCTCATGCGACTGCATTACAAATTCGAAGAGATGCAAACGTAATTTCACCATCCCCTCCCCCCTAATTACCAAGCTGAATGAATAACCCCTCGTTTAATCCTCAGAAAATACGAGAAACTCCAGGAGCAATCGACGAAATCGAAGGACGCAGCCCTCCACAAGGAGCTACGAGAGCTGGAAGATGAGCTCAATGCAAAAGAGAGTGAAATCAGTGCTGTGGTCGGTTTGTACAACGAGGTAAAAATTCAAAAATCAAATGCAGAATTAGAAAGAGATTGCACTGAGAGAAATTTCAATGGTAATTTCAACTGCAAGGGAATTGTCAAAAAAATTATAGTTACGGTAACAATAAACATTGTAGATTCAACTATTACATTAAAGGGAAAATGACATCATAATGTTGATGACATTATGTTGATGACATTGTCACTGTAAATATAATTTCTTTGGCAATTCCCTTGTAGTTAAAATTACCATTGAAATTGTTCTCAGTGTGGGCTTTGTAAAATTATGCTGAATGCCTGAATCCCTCGAAGGTAATGGCCCTGAAGTCACAGATACATGGTGCATATCACCAGAAGAATAGCCTGCTCTGCATGGCTGAAGACTACTCCGAAAGAATTTCCCAGAGGTTCTACCCGAATTACCAGAGACCCAGGACATCATCATGTGGCGTGAAAACCCCCTCAACATCCACGAGATTGACTGGTTTGCTTCGACAAATCCAGTCGTTCCAGCAGCAACTCATATCTTCATGAATAATCTCTGAATGAAATAAAACAACGTTTAATTTAACGTTTTAACACCGTTTAAATATAACATTAAAAAATGAGAATTCACGAAACGAAACGAAAAATTCACATGAATAGGTGAATCGCCCAGTGGCCGAACGAATTGAAAAATGTTGGGTTTGTTAAATTAAACTTTTTCCTTTGCAAAATAAAATAGAATGGGAAGGAAATCAAGGAGAATCATGTTCGTTCAACTACTGAATAGTTTGACGTGTAAATAAAAGATGGAATGAAGAATAAAGGGAACATTAGTCCAAAATTCATGACATTAATTACCCAAAACTCCAATAATCAAAACCCAATGATCTCCAAGTGCAGATGATTTATTTCATCCTCGCTCATATAGAATATATAGTTTATGTATAAGATGTTTACATATATTTTTATATACATTTATCCAACACATATGTATAACAACGAGCAAACATCGTCAATATTTATTTTCTCCCACGATTAATCTCGTGTCGAAGGTGATAATGATTCAGCAGTCGTGGGAGACATTCAAGATCTACATTCCATTTTCCGGGTTCTCTTTTAATGTTTAATTATCAGTTAATCTATGTATTATTATCCATCAATGACTGTGGGTTATTAAGTAATCTCCGTCGTCTACTGGAGCTCCAATAGCAGAGAGAATCTGCGCTGAGTTCTAGATATGTCGAATTAATAAATTCAATAAAAAATCTGTCATTACTCGTAACTTATATTTTCTCATCTGAAGAAAAAAACATTTCAACTCTCTGCCTACAACTACCGAACTTCGACAAAACTATATTATCATTCAATCTTATGATATAAAATTTATAAGCCTAAACCACTAGAATTCTCAACTGCAACGAGCTATTTCGTGTTCAATTAATGTTTTTTTAATTCGCATTCTGACGAAATCAATACAGGATTATCTGTGACGTTACATACAAAAGTTTAATGAATATTTTAAACGTTTTTCAGCTATTCTCTTAACTTTTTCGATAAAAATTACTGCTGTTGCTTGTATTACTCATAGAGAGAATTATTTTCGTACAAAAAACTCCTCATAAATTTCACCACATTACCTCCTCCCTGCGACAAAAATTTATCCAACACGTGCCAAGTGGTTTATCACAGACTAAAAGATGCTTTGGTATAGATTAAGAAACAATAGGAGCCACAAAATAAAAAATAACATCTCAAAATGTCGTAACATATTTTCACTTTGATCACGAAAAAAGGCCCTCGTGGCAATCGCAATGTGTTGCGCTTATTTTGGTTCCTCTATATCAATTAATCAATCATTAATAATAATAATTAATAGGAGTCAACGCGTAATAATATATCTTCATAGATAATATTCAGATTGCAGCATTGAAAAATAATCTCTCTCTTCTCTAATTTTTAATTAGACTCTAGGTCACATGCACTAATCTCCAAGCTCACGAATTTTTAATGAATAATGGGGATTTGTCTCCCCAATTTCGATATTGTCGTAATAAATAAACAAATGGCATGTTTAAATAATGAAAATTAGAGGAGTAATCAGCGAGAATTAACGAGATAATGGGAGAAATTGAATGTTTGGTAGTGAATTGGTAAAACGTGATAGGATTCATTGATGAGATAATGATTTTGGGAAAAAAATCGAAGGATTTTTTACGATTATTTCCCCTCAAATGATTCACTAGTGAGAACATTTAATATTCATCAGGTCAAATTCGAAAAATGCACTTGTTCTCATAAATTCGTCTGATCATTTACTTGAACGTGAAATTAACTTGTTACCAAGTGATTTTGGGAGAAAAAATCAAGGATTTTTTGTGAAATTCTCCCCTAAAGTGCATTCTCAAATATGAAACTATCCTCTTACTGAATGATTTCAGGGGAAAACTCCGAATTCTCTTGACATTTTCTTCTAAAATCCCTCATCAACGAGATAATCTCCCATTCACCAAGATGTATAAACCTGTAAATTTCCTCTCACGTTTTACCACATCCCCACCTCCACGAATTAGGCAGTTTTGGCGAGTAGAGCGTCGATTAGTCTGAGTTTGGCCTTAGTCTGTTTATAAGACTCATAAACAGTTTGTACATGAGGGCCCCTGTCCTCCCTCTGCATTCTGCGTCCAGCGCGTGCTTCAAACTGTGCCTCCAGTTCCTTGAGAGCCCTCCTCAGCCTCTTCTTCTCCTCCCGCATGACCCTCTGCTGGGCCACCAAGTCCTCCTGAGGCATGGCGTGCAGGCTCTCCCCAATGCCCCCCCTACTGCCCTCACTGCTGCTGTGCTGGCTATCGCTGTCCGTTGGCAACTGGTCGGGAGTGTCAATGCAATCCAGAATGCCCCGATGAGACATGTCAGGCTCACTGGCTCTCCTGTCGCAGTCCCCAGAGTTCCCAGGCAACGAAGACGACGTGAAGTCCATCGCCTCGTGCTCCAGGATCGTCGCCAGCTCTGATATACTGTCTTTATTCTTGCTTGATCCAGCTCTGATCAGCAATCTCTTCAAGGATCGATATCTGAGGAACAGGAAAATATTTATTAATATTTATTATTTAGTCTCAACATCGACTAAATCAGATAAATCATAAATATTATTTTTCATGTTTCTGTTCACTTGTTTAAATTAGAGGAAATATCCCCAGTCAAGAGAGAAGATAATAGCAATTTCGAGCATTTCAAAAGAAATTCACAAACATTCATATAAGAAAGTCATTGCAAACGACAATCACATATTCTTGACGGCTTAAACCACTCGATATTACATATTTTATTTTTTAAAACTGTGACAAATCATCAGGAAAATTGTCGAAAGACGTATCATTTATCACTGTCAAACCTTGAATCGATTTTTATAACTGTAAAGTCAGATGGATTAATTTTGGGTTGATAATTTCACCCAACGCCCACCAATACTCATTTTAAATTAAAAAAATGTTAACCGCTCACACAGATTCATTGAAAAACTCCACCATCAGGCCATTACTCCGTCATCACACCATTCTTACGTAAATAAAAAACCATCTGCATTTTAACGCCAGCGTTTCAAGAATTAAACACTCTCCTATCATTTTAATGCGATTTAATTTCACCTATATGCCATAATAATATATGATATTGCAATGCACCTATCAATGCATCAAATATTTTTCATCTTTAAAACCATCAGAACACAGTGTGAAAAAAATCCTTGTGAAAATAGAGTGACAACATTATTTATTAATTTCTTCGACTTGCCATCGGTTTCCTTACCCGTCATCAATGGCTTATTCGTCGTCTAAAGAAGTCTGTCTCACCTGTCGTAAAGATCTCGCACCATGGCCCTGTCCTCCTTGGCCACAGGCCTCCCAAAAGCCCCCTCAATATGCAAAAGTGCCTTTTGCACCGCAGTCTTCTCGTCCAGCAGCTGCTCGTACGACATCTCCTCCATGTTATCAGGCCTGTCGTACTTGACCCTCTTCTCACTCAGCTTCCTCTCCACCTCCTTCACCATGTCCTCCATCAACGTCGCCCTGGACTTGAACTCCTGACTGTTGTTATTGTTCACAGGAGAATTCTCCTGATTCCTTCCATTCAGGCTGGAGGACTTGGTCAGTTTGACGTTGGCTCTCAGTGCACTTATGGGGTCCTCCTTCAACAATTTATACTCCTTTCGGAGTTTATTGAGTTCTCCACACAGTCTCTTGATGTCCCGATTGCTCATCTTGTCGGAGTGAGTGGGACGATACCCAAAATTCTCCTCGAACTCGTCCTCGTACTTCTTTATTTTCTTCTTGAGACCGTTTATGTGCTTCGTGAGGGTCTTCAGACCCAGTTCCGAGGGGCTGGGGATCGTTGGGGTCCCGTCCACCTCGGAGTAGAACCTCCGGGGGATCAGCAAGGAGTTCCGGGGGGACAGCATCGACTCCGTGGGCTCTTTCTCGTCCTCGGTGGCCGGCCCACTCTCCGGGTCGGTTTGGCGCATCGTGAAACCCCAGTTCGTGGGGACTGGGTTGTTGGAGTCCTCGTGGTCTAGGGAGCGCGCACGCACCGGCGACGGGGAACGAGAGGGACCACTGCTCAAGAGGTCGAGGAAACTAGGTCCTGAAATTACCAAAATTACTCTGTATTGTGAATACTGACTTTTATTTATTTATTAGGAGTTTTTTGATTATTTGTTATTTTAATTGGTTTAATTTAATTTATTTGATCAAAAAATAGATATATTTTTATTTTTCATGTGATTTTTACCTTTTGTATTTTTTTCTCGCATGTTAAATGTGAATTATTATTGTTTTGTAAATAATTGTTGATTATTTTCTTGTAGAGGTGGAGAAAATAATTTTTTTCTTCTTCATTTTTCGACAATTTGCCATTTTTGTAATTAATTACGTTCATTTCGTTGATATTTCTGATATATAATTCAGAAAAATGCAAAAGATTGATGAAAATAATAGTTTTGATAATAATTTTGTGTCTATATCAGAATTAAAAATGATCATTATGATATTTTTTCAAGATTTTTTACCTTTTGGATATTATTTTTTTAACAATGCGATGATGATTTCCTGTTTTATCGCTTCACAATTAATAATTTCAATCCTGCATTATTAATTTTGTTTTTATAAATAGTTCTATAAAACTCAAGAAGAGAAAAACAATTTTTTTCTTCTTCCTTTTTCCATAACTCTTCATTCCAGCAATTAATTATGGTCATTTAATTAGAATTTTCGTGACATAACTGAGAAAAGAGCGAAAAATAAATGATGAAATTTTTTACCTGTTGTCTCGTCTGCACTGCTATTGTTCTCCGTCGAGGATTCAATGTAAAGCTCTGGAATTAGTTCCTGCTCATTCTCCTTGGTGGAGTTTTGATCGACCTTGAGACCCTTGTGGACTCGCCGTCGACGATTTACCCGGAGACAGCGGGGGGTCAGACTACGGCTGAACCTCTCGGTGCTGCGGAGTCTCTCCACATCGCACTCGAGCCGCTCAGCTGCGAGGAGGATGTCGCAGGGGGAGGGCAAGGGCGAGGGCTTGGAGACTGGTGAGACGTTGGTTCTCTCGTGGAGGGGCAGACCTCCGCATCTCTTGAATGGAAATGAGTGGAAAGTTTTTAGAGGAGTGTTGGGGATTTCGTGAGGTTTTTTCTCGCGATATGACATGTTTTCAATAACATGTCCACTGTTGTTTCAGAGAATTCCGGCATTGAAAAATAATAATTTGATGAGAAAATCGGTGGAAACTGCCAGTTTCTGTTCTAGTTATTTTTATTTTCGTTCTTTTTTCTGTTTTATTTCTGTTCTGTTTTTTTTTTCGTTTTTTCTACATGAAACTCTTCGATTCAGTTGCATCGTCTTTGTCCCTTAAAAACAAATAATTGAACGGGAATTTATTCTTTATTTTTTTAATATTTCCAAATCAAAAAGAGAAAGTGAAATTTCTATGAAGACAGCGATTTTTTTTTTCGTCATACGACATTTTTTCAATAACATTGCCTCTGATATTTCAAGAAATTGAGGCAGTAAAAAATTAAAATTTGGTGAGAAAATCAATGGAAACTTCCAGTTTCTGTTCTAGTTATTTTTATTTTTGTTCTCTTTTCTGTTTTACTTCTGTTGTTTTCTTTCTTCCTTTTCTCAAATTGAAACACTTCGATTCACTTGAATTTTTCGATGAAACTTACAATTCTGCAAGTGTTTTTCCCTTAAAAAGAAATAATTAAACCGAAATTTAATCTTCATTCGTCAAATATTTCCAAATAAAAGAGAAAGGGCGCAATTTCTACGAAAACAAAGACATTCCGAAATTTCTATTCCAAGACAAAGGAGACATGACATGTTTTCACTAATATTTCCACTGATATTTCAGGAAATTTTGGCATGAAAAATGAGAATTTATTCAGAAAATCAATGGCATCTGCCAGTTTCTGTTCTAGTTATTTTTATTTTCGTTCTCTTTTCTGTTTTATTTCTGTTCTGTTGTTTTTCCTCCTTTTCCCAAATTGAAACACTTCGATTCACTAGAATTTTCAGTTGAGACTTGCCATTTTATAGGCCCTTTTCCCTCAAAAAAAATAATTCACCTGGAATTCAACCTGAACTTTTCAAATGTCTCCAAATAAAAAAGAGAGAGCGAAATTTCTATGAGGCCATCGAAAATCCCGCTACATATTTCCCTTCCATTCCAAGAAAAAGACATTCAACAGGAGTTGAACTCTGAGAGAAATCGATTCATCTCGCTTTACCATCTTCACTCGCCATGTCGAAATAGTCTTATTACGGTTTTCCACCGCTGCCGAATGCAGCACATCTCATTAAAATGAGAAAGAGTCTAGTCTTTTATTAGCCTCCAAACCAAGAATGCATTGACTTACCACTCCGTGCCCCATGTCCGCTCCAAGTTGAGGTAAATGCGTTAAAATATGGAGATGTTTATCGCTGTTGAAATCTTCGTGACTATTGACTCTTCGGATCGTTTCTACTGCATTCGAAGTGTTTTTGTCCAAGATTTGTTCCTCACTATTGCTTCTGTGGAATTAACATTATCAATTATATTTTATTTTACTAAAATGAATTCATTATTAATTATTTTATTATTATTATTATTATTATTATTTTCTTATGAATTATTTTTTCCCAATAATTGATTTTTCAATTTTTCAAATTTTTTAATTCTTCTCGTTGTCTCTTATTTTATTATCCATTCACCGTGAATAATACTGAAAAGTCTTATTATATTTAACTGAAGTCTCCAGAGACGAGAATGAAACGAATATTCAACAAATGAATGTTTCGATTAAATCCAACAGACAAAATACGAAATTTATTCATCACCATTGCTTCAGTGAGATAAAATTTAAAAAAATTACCCAATAAATCCACTAAAGTCCTCATCAATTATATTTGACTAAAATGAATTATTATTTTTCCAAATAACTGATTTTCAAATTTTTCAAACTTTTTAATTCTTCTCTTTTTCCCCTATTTTATAATTCACTCACCGCGAATGATACTGAAAAGTCTTGTTATATTTAATTGAAGGCTCTAGAGACGAGAATGAAATTAATATTCAACAAATGAATGGATCGATTAAATCTAAGAGACAAAATCAAAAATTTATTCATCAAATAAATTACCCAATAAATCCACTAAAGCCCTCATCAATTGTATTTGACTAAAATGAATTATTATTTTTCTAAATAACTGATTTTCAAATTTTTCAAATTTTTTAATTCTTCTCTTTTTCCCCTATTTTATAATTCACTCACCGCGAGTGATACTGAAAAATCTCGTTATATTTAATTGAAGGCTCTAGAGACGAGAATGAAACTAATATTCAACAAATGAATGGATCGATTAAATCGAACAGACAAAATCCAAAATTTATTCATCAAATAAATTACCCAATAAATCCACTAAAGCCCTCATCAATTATATTTGACTAAAATGAATTATTATTTTTCTAAATAACTGATTTTCAAATTTTTCAAATTTTTTAATTCTTCTCTTTTTCCCCTATTTTATAATTCACTCACCGCGAATGATACTGAAAAGTCTTGTTATATTTAATTGAAGGCTCTAGAGACGAGAATGAAACTAATATTCAACAAATGAATGGATCGATTAACTCGAACAGACAAAATCCAAAATTTATTCATCAAATAAATTACCCAATAAATCCACTAAAGCCCTCATCAATTATATTTGACTAAAATGAATTATTATTTTTCCAAATAACTGATTTTCAAATTTTTTAATTCTTCTCTTTTTCCCCTATTTTATAATTCACTCACCGCGAGTAATACTGAAAAGTCTTATTATATTTAACTGAAGGCCCCAGAGACGAGAATGAAACGAATATTCAACAAATGAATGGATCGATTAAAACCAATAGACAATTACCTGATGAGTTTTCTCTCTTGGCAACAGGACTCGCAGTGTTCCTTTCGCTTGCGCGGTTTCAGCGCGCAATGCAAGTTATCCCCCGTCTGCTCGGAAACCTCGTTCTGCTCCTTGGTATCCTTGCTGTCCCTATTATCGTTCGCAACGACAGTCGAATAACTTCCCGAATCCTTGACACTGAAAGTAAAAAACATTTCCACTGTGTTATGTTGATTGAGTTATCCAATCGCCTGGAACATTCCAGTTGATTCACGAACAGCCATATCATGTGAAATAAGGGAGAGACTGTGGATCGGCGGAATCGGTCACGTTTTATTCGTCATTCACTCGTGGTTTTAATCGTCGCCGCTTGATCCAATAAAAATTGTTAGAAGTGTAAACACACTTATTCCGACTTAGTTTGAGGGGAAGGGTTTTGCAGAGTTCGATAGGAGAGAGTCATTGCCGAACGATTGAGCCCTATTTCGCGTGGATTGATTAATTAATTGAAAATAATTTTGTACTCTGTTAGAAATTTTTTGAAATTTTGATGGAAGATATTATAGCAAATCTCATGAGAGTGACAGTGAATTCGGTAGCGAAGTGGTAAGAGATGAGTGCATTTTTTTCCAAATTCGTAATTGTTATTACCATTTGAAAATTAATATTTCATTGTGATTCATGCAAAAAAAATGTTGTTTTAATGCACTTATCGCCTTTTACGTCTTCGCTACTGAATTGGATTTAGGGAAAAAATGGTTATGACATTTCAAGTTTTAAGTAGATTTCACGGAAATTTCAGAACTTGATTGAATTTTCAGTGGAACATGGATATTCAGAAACAAAATGACGTGAATTTCGAATTTTTTCCTGAATTTCCCTGATTTTTCTGAATTTTCAGAGAATAATTGAACTGAGAAATCAAATATTTTATTGAGTTGTAGATCATTTCAACAGAAAACCAATGGAATATTTGATTTTTCAATGACAAGATTTCTTAAAATTTTGAGGAATTTTGTAATTGAAAATTCAAGATTATATGTCAAAATCAATAAAAAATGTGAATTTCTGATAAATTATTCCATGAAAATTGATAGAAATGAAGAAAATTCAGGAAATTATTATTTAATGTTCATTCCTTCCTCGGGAATTTTTGTTTTTCTGCTGTTTAAAAATTTGGAATCCCATTGAACTTGTGGCTGAAATTTTAAAAAAATCTCGTCATTGAAAATTCAAGATTTTATGAAAATTAAAATGACTGCAAACTGTAAATTTTAGTTAAATAATTCCATAAGAATTTAAAGAAATGAAAAAGTTCAGGTAAATGTATTCTTGATTTTTAATGACGAGAAAATTCAAGTAAATTGGGAAATTCGTGTTTTTCTGGATTGAATTCATGTTTATCTGCATTAAATATCCACTGAAATTCATCATTCTTCCCCCAGAATCTAATTCAATATCCTCCCCAAAAATTCCTCCTCAAAGCTCACAGTCAACCCCATTTTTTTGCGAATTCCATCCAACAATTGTCTCCAATTATCACCAAATTTATATCGCCCGAGTGGAATAAAAATCGTTCTCCGCCTTCCCCCGATGTTCCCATTTTTAAAAACGCCCTAAAATTCCTTCCCACTCAATTCTCCAAAGCAAAAAAATGTCACTCTCAGAACCGTTCGCCAACTCTCGTCCCAGAAAAAGTCAATCACGCGCTGAATAATAGACCACAACAACGTAAAGACACCAGCAAAATCGAATTATCAAGGTGAAATTCCGCCGCTTACGTAACAATTCCCTCGTAAACTGAAAACAGGATCAATGACCGAGCAAATCCCAATTGTCTGCGTAATCGTGAAAAATTAACTCAGCAGCGAAGTGGTAAAACGGTTCAAGTCGACTCATCTCGCAGTTGAGATTTTGCGGAATATTTCCGAATCTAAGGGAGATATCGAAATTTTGGCAATTACATTTGTTGTAGCACTCAACCGGCTCTACAAAAAAGGTCATAACACAAATTTTGCCATCTCCCTTAGATTCCGAGATATTCACTGAAAACTGGTCAACAGTAGAAATTCACTTGTCCCATTTTACCACTTCGCTACTGAACTGTTCCCAAATGTTACTACACTACACCGAAAGAAAAACAAACACGTTGTCAAACAAGTCTTGTTGAGGCCAACAAAATCGCAAGTTGAAAATTGCCAAAAAAGAATTTGTTTGTTTCGAATTTGAAAGTCTCAAACATGAATAATTGCTCTGCCTTCGACAGCAACAAAATATTTGCCTCAAAAGGCGGATAATTCACACCAGACGGTGCCTTTTCAGGATGAAAATATCTCATACAGAGGACAATCTATCAACAAATATTTTCTCCCCAAGTTACAAGACTCCTATCATATCATTATTATTGTTTCATTTAAGGGTTCATTTCTTGTCTGTGATTATTCGACAGTCGAAATGAAAAACTACAGTCCCTCGGTCCGCATAAAACAAAGATTTTTCGGGAGCAAAATACGTATGGGAGTATCGAATAACGAAGGAGTAGTGCTAGAAATGCTATTTCTTTCCCGTGCAGAGAATCCAATTTTTTTTTAACTACTAAATCGATTTTTGCGACAAAAATTTTCCACTCCGGCGCGCTCTCTGCATGTTTGGCGCAAAAAAATTCTTTTTCGATAATTTTCAAAAAACTATTTTCTCGGCACAAGTAAAACTTGTTTGAGAACATTGTCGTTTTTCTCTCAAAAATATCTCATACAGAGGACAATTTATCAACAAATATTTTATCCCCAAGTTACAAGACTCCTATCATATCATTATTATTGTTTCATTTAGGGGTTCATTTCTTGTCAGTGATTATTCGACAGTCGAAATGAAAAACTGCAGTCCCTCGGTCCGCATAAAACAAAGATTTTTCGGGAGCAAAATACGTATGGGAGTATCGAATAACGAAGGAGTAGTGCTAGAAATGCTATTTCTTTCCCGTGCAGAGAATCCAATTTTTTTTTAACTACTAAATCGATTTTTGCGACAAAAATTTTCCACTCCGGCGCGCTCTCTGCATGTTTGGCGCAAAAAAATTCTTTTTCGATAATTTTCAAAAAACTATTTTCTCGGCACAAGTAAAACTTGTTTGAGAACATTGTCGTTTTTCTCTCAAAAATATCTCATACAGAGGACAATTTATCAACAAATATTTTATCCTTTGAGGCAAATATTTTGTTGCTGTCGAAGGCAGAGCAATTATTCATGTTTGAGACTTTCAAATTCGAAACAAACAAATTCTTTTTTGGCAATTTTCAACTTGCGATTTTGTTGGCCTCAACAAGACTTGTTTGACAACGTGTTTGTTTTTCTTTCGGTGTAGTGTAGTAACATTTGGGAACAGTTCAGTAGCGAAGTGGTAAAATGGGACAAGTGAATTTCGACTGTTGACCAGTTTTCAGTGAATATCTCGGAATCTAAGGGAG